ACTTGTGAAAGTAAAATCTGTTGGGCTCTTTTTGGCATCAAGACAATTATTCTTATTGCCACATTGCCATACAGGACACTGTAAAAAAATAAATAAATCGTGACATTGGTAGAGATTTATATAAAATCCACAAGACTGTGGGGGATAATAGTAGAATGAATGGAAGGTGGAAAGAAGAGGTAGTCATATCTTGATTTTGAATTGGTCACACTGGACTTAATAGTTCTCTTTTCAGAAAAGGCAAACATGAAACAGGGACTTTTAATTACTGTAATCAGATAGAAACAGTGGAACGTGTCTTATTATATTATTGGTTTGTGCACACCTGAAGTGCTTTGTCTGACAGACATTGGTGAGGGCATAAATCACACCTAGGAAGGCTGATTGTACAAAATCATTACTATTAGGTAACTGGTGACTGTAAACTTCTCTTAGGTGTGTGTGTGTGTGTGGTTGTGTGTCTCTGTAACCTGTGATTAATTGGCAAACTTTCCAAGGTGTACCCCGCCTCTTGTCCATAGAATGCTGAAGATAGGCACCCACACACATGATCTTGATAGATAAGTGGTGGATAGGTTGATTTGTTGTGAAACTACTTCAAGTTTTATTTCATCACACTCTTTGATGATATTTATTAATATGATGTTGCATCATATCCATGTCTTACCAATTAATTTCTAATAATAATAAACACAATCACACTTATGGTAACTCAAGTTTCGCTTTTAGTCTTTAATGCTTAATAACATAAAATCTAAATTGTAGGAAAAGATCACAAATATATCTGCTGAAAATCAACAACTTCTGTGTTCTTCCCACTGAAACAATAAATACGTAGTGAGAGAAAAATACATTTTTAGAAAAAGTACAGTAATGATGATATACCATCTAATGGTGCATGTTTAGAATTTGCTATATTTATGATTCTATGATTGAGATTAATATTTAAATATAGCATACATTAATATTTAAATATAGCATACAACAGTTACATTTTATGTGATAATCACATTAATGGCAATAAAACAGAGTGCATTAAAAAAAACTTGTTTCAAACTAAATAAAATATATCCTTTAAAGACAGAAGATTTTTTTAATAAGTTAAGAGGTGTACAGTGTTACATAAACATGGCTAATGAAAAAAGAGAAATTAACAGTAAGACACTTGATTCCTTATGACCTGCAGAGGACGCAGTGGTTGTTGGAGAAACTGTGGTGGTGGTTGGTGCTGCTGTTGGAGTAGTTGGAGCAGTCGTGGAAGCAGCTGTTGTGGTAGTTGAAACTGATGTGGTTGTTGGAGCGACTGTGTTGGTTGGAGCAGCTGTCGTAGTTGTTGGAGCAGCTGTTGTGGTTGTGGGAGCAGCTGTTGTAGTTGTGGGTGCAGCTGTTGTAGTTGTGGGTGCA